ATGTAGTCTGAACAGCATAGCGATCTTCTGACGTTTTAAGTCGTGAAGTGTGAACGAGGCTTAAAGCGTCTGAACAAGTGGCGCTCCTGAGACGGGGGACCCAGAGACTCTGATGAGACATCTGTAGAGCTGTGGGCTGGGCGACACCGAACATGTTTGCAAGATTTTATAATCTCCGTGTAGAACCTGTGTCCTCTCGTGTACTCGCCTCAGATGGCCAGTAAACACCGGGACCTGCTCAGTGTCTATCACGCTTGCTGTACCATTCCCCTCTACGGACCGGATATGTGCGCTTAATTACTTCACAGGCAAGTTCCCCTCATGCGAACCCTGTTTGGAGTTCCTCCAGCACCCTCGGTGGTCAGGTGTGGCGGAGCACCCAACGACAAGTCCAGCACTCGTGTGTTTGCCCAAGGTTAGCCCCTGTGCTGGGCTAGGTGCCCATGTGTTGTGATTCCCCCTAGAGGTGATCCCACATGTGTATTCTTCCATGATACGGCTATCCTTGCGGTAAGCCCGTGTCTTTCGCTGGCAGAGTTGCTCTGCCGTCTCTGCTCGGTATTGACCTCACCCAAATAGGCTGAGTTTACGGCAGAGACTTTCCATATGTAGCACTGCCTTGTTGGCCAGTCCATTTGTGTAATCTCCACATAATACCTCCTAAGTGCAGGATGTGGCTTCCGTAGCGTTCCCTTCCTCAGGTACGCTTTCCCAGTGTTATCCAATATCCCACAGCAGGAACAACAGCGTCAGCCCCCTCTGCCTAAGCCCTGTCCTGTCTTCCGTCCCAACCAGTGTGGGAGGATTTGCCGGCTTACACAGGGCACTGGAGAGGGGGCAGCAATGGTGGCATTTTGGTAGGGATCCCAATTCGTCAGTCATTCTGACGTAACGTCGATCGTGACTGTCTGAGAGGGAACGTCTCGGTTACAGATGTAACCCTCATTCCCTGAAGAAGGGAATGGAGATGTTATGTTCCGTCGCCACAATTGCTGTACCACCACTGAATGGCTTATGCTTATGCCCTTATGCTTTCCATAAACTCAAAACATTATTTCAGCCTATTTTGAAGATTTATGTTTATGATTTTAATAAAATGTTCATACATTTGCATTATAGAGTTTTAACATAAACTAACAAACTTAATGTGATGCATATTTGTTAGTCGCACATAAATGAAATAAGAAATTAGATTTATGAAATAATACTAATACATCAAGTGTTTTAAATACAGAATAACCAGGTTTATATATTTATCATCAATGAATCCAATGTATTACATGTAAACCATTCAATAAAGCATATATATTTTAAATAATGAATCATGCTAGTTCCAAAGCTAACCATATTTAACCATGCTTTTGCAATTTTTTTTTTCAAAACTAACATATTTATGCCATTTTTAAAGAATTTTAAGAAAAAATATAATTATGTAAAAAAAAAATTAAATAGATACAAATAGTTAATGAACTATGTCATGATTTATGTTCTTGAGTGTGGACTGGTTTAGCTTCTTTACTGTTGCACTGATGTTTGTATAATAGAGTGGAAAGTGTCAGTGTGTTTGTATAATAGAGTGGAAAGTGTCAGATTTCTGGTTATGTTGAAAAGGATTTTCATTGGGCAACTCATTTCATTTAGCGGCAGATTACCTTGAACAACAAGCACCTGCAAATCATGACAGTTTTTGTTTGAAGGTGGTCCATTGTTTCTAATGTTACCTCTCTTGCTCCTAGGCATCATACCAAAACCAACCATTACAACACATGAATGGTTTGAGTTGTTCTACACTGACGAGAAACTCCAGCT